GAAAGTGTGGTCCTGCTGCTCAGAGTGGTGTCTGATTTTAATTTTAAACTGACCACCTCTACTGCATCATCAACAGGAATGCACGTAAAGAGTGATGTGACATCAAAAGAGACCATTGTTTCATCAGTCTCCATGATGACATCCCTCACCTTATTTACAAAGTCCATGGTGTTCTGTATGTGGTGTTCTGAGCTGCCAACTAAAGGGATGAGTACAGACGCCAGATATTTGGAAACATTGTAAGTGACAGAGTTAATCATGCTAACAATAGGTCTTAAAGGTACACCTTGTTTGTGGATTTTAGGTAAATCATACAGACTAGATGCGGCCTCCCCTGGGTACAGTCTGTGGTACAGAATACGGTCAATAGCGTTGTCCTGCTCCAAATTTTTCAGGCAATCTATTAACTTCTTCTTGTAACTACTTCCTGGATCTCTTTTCAGAGGTTCATAAGTGGTTAAGTCACTAAGGAGTGTCATAACTTTCTCATGATAGTCTTTCTGGTTCAACATCACTGTGCACCTTCCTTTGTCTGCTGGGAGAATGATGATGTTTTTGTCCTTGCTAAGAGTGGTGAGTGCATCCTTCTCCTCTCTACTGATGTTGGAAGGTGGTGGTTTGGCATTGCTGAGGCAGGCTGAAACTTTGATTCTGAGTTATTCTGATTCACCCTCTAATTTTGTTGTTGCAGATGGCTGAGCGGCTGTGGCTGAGTGGTTAGAGCAGTCGTCCTCCAATACGAGAGTTGGGGGTTTGAATCTACCAGCAGTCACATGTCGAAGTGTCCCTGGGCAAGACACTGAACCCCTCATAGCTTCCGATGTGTGTCCCATCAGTGTATGAATGTGATAAAGCACTGATTAGTCTCTTTAGAATGATTTGTTCAATTAGCTTTGTAGAGATCTAGTAAAGTGCTGTATGAATGGGTAAATGAGGACACAGATTGTAGTGTAAAGCGCTTTGAGTAGCTTGAAATAAGATAGACAGGCGCTATACAAGTACAGTCCATTTACCATTTACTCAGTGGCTGTGATCATCTCCACCAGAGGAATTCTACTTGGTGCATCTGCAAAGTTCAGTCCCCTGGCAAGAATCTCTGTCTCCAGCTGGGTGAGCTGTCTGTCAGATAAATTCTTCACCCACTTTTCTGTCTCCCTGGCATGTAACTGTCTACTGAAGTGTTGTCTTCCACTGAATGTGTTGTTATTGGAATTGTGATGGTGTTGATGAGTTATTACTAAGTTAAACTTGTTTTGTTGTTGAGTCTTGGACTTGACATGCTGTGCTAAGCGTGCCTGATCTGTACAGTCCATCACTTGCGGAAGTGTGGCACCCTTTGGAGCACAAATTATGAGTCATCAGGACTCTGTACCACAGAGCAGACAGCGTCCCCACTAACTCAGGAGCCA